TTGTATGTATATATTATATTTTTTTTGGTTGGGTTTGTTTTTAATTCAGTCATACAAAATGGTGGCAAGCCCCAGTCCCAAAGGGTGTCCTATCTCGGTGCACGAAAATGAGATGGAAGGGAAGGGGCGGGCATGTCTTTGTGTGTTCGGGGCCTCGAGGAGACAGTGTTGAGGTGCCCTGGGAGAGGTCTCTGTTCCCTCTCCCAAGCGCCATGGCTGTCCTGGGGCTGATCAGTGGTTGTGAGATGTACAGGGAAGACCTACTCTTTCCAGGAAATCTGGCTTCATGAAGCGCGGTGACCCTGGGGGAATTTTGGCCAAAGGAAACAGCCGGGCTGGGGTGGGAGGCCTGGGCCAAAGTCTGGCCTATTCCCCTCTCCTCATATGGTGCTAGGTGGGGAGCTGCCCTGGGAGCTGGGAGATCCTTGGGGACCCACGGAACTGTCTTCAGCCCCCCGAAGACAGTGGGGCCTTTGGGCTATTTTCTGGTTGGGGTCTGCTCCTACCCCCCTTCTTTTAACAATGTGAAGAGACTAAGCTGGGGTGCTCTCCCCAGCCCCTCCCACTGCCAGTTCAGCTTCGAACTGACACCCAGGAAGTCCTTTCTGGAGAGCCTTGTCTTGTTCAGAAGACTCTAGCATCTTGGGGCTGGAAGGGTCCTTCAACGGGTATGGAAACAGGTCCAGAAATGGGAGGTGGCCTCCTTGGCCCATGTCACAGAGCTGGTTGGGAGCGGGGCTGAGAATGAACTTGCAGCTCCTGATCCTGAGTCCAGTGCTCTTTTTCCAATGCCACACTGCCTCTGAGCCCATCCTTGGGACCCTATTCTGTGCCAGGTTCCTGTCCCTCCCTCAGTCACACTCTTGGTCACTCCGGGACATGGGGACAAACCACTCCTTCCCAGCCAGGGTGCCTTCGAGCCTTTTCAGTTCCAGATCTGCATTTGTATGCCTGTCTTGCTCTCCCTACCTGGGAAGGATCTTCCCAGCCAGCGGGGCCTGTGTCTGTCTCAGCTCTGAACCAATTCTCTTTTCTTAAGTTCTCCACTGGGGTGGATGAGACGGTTATTCAACGAGAAGGTTACTCAGCAGGACCAGCTACGGTTTCATTGTCTACCCAGGGAAGCGTTCCCATCATGCTTCTCATTGGGGCCTTTAAGCCTGGGAGGCCTAGGTGTCGTCGACTCCACAAGGGGTGCAGAGTGCGGGTACAGCAGCATCAGCTTCTTCAATGTTCCCCAATATACTTAGCACTTCCCCCCACCCCCCAAATAAGAAAGAGTGAGAGATAGCGTAAATCATGTAGATCAGGGGTCCTCAGCCTCTGGGCCGTGGACCGGTACGGGTCCATGGCCTGTTAGGAACTGGGCTGCACAGCCAGAGGTGAGCGGCGGGAGAGCGAGCAAAGCTCCATTCGCAGCTGCTCCCCAGCACTAGCATCACTGCCTCAGCTCCACCTCAGCTCATCGGAAATTAGATGCTCATATACCGATCCCTAGTGCCAAAAAGGTTGGGGACCGCTGAAATGACTCCACCATCCATCCTGGTGTCCCCTCCGTGAGCCTTTGCTCCACAGGTAGGAGGTCGGCTGAAGTCACTTGAGGTTCTAGAGCCACCCATAATGCAGGTACCTTGCGCTGGGTAGATGAGTCTGAAGTTTAAAGATGGGCCTTTCCTGAGCCCTTAAGTAGGAGCAGGCAGAGCCTCTGGGGCCTAGCTGAGGGAGCTGTCTGTCCCTAGCCACAGAAAACTGCCGGGCTGACCCACAGAGAGTGGTGGTCCCTACGTGGAGCTGATTCCGTGGGTTTGTTAGTGGAAAGAGCAAGTAAAAATATGTTTAACCAAATGTTTTATTATTAATGCCATTACCCACCATCTAGATTTAAAATTAACATTTTTCCACATTTTTTTCTCTCTCTACACTGATATTTTTTCTGAACTAGCTTAAAAGTAAAAATCATGAGATTTCACCCCAAAATGCTGCAACCTGCATCTAATAAGAGTTAGGATGGTCTCCTATGCAGTGGCCCAGTATCACACCTGAGACAACCGTAATGTTCTAACATCTGTTCTCCAATCTGTATTTTGATCTCCCCCAAATAACTTGTACCTGGTTTTGGAATTTGGATTCAATCAAGGCACACACATTGCATTTTGTAACTGTTTTAAAGCTCTCTAAATGCTGAAAAGTCCTCCCTTTGCTCACTTTAATTTTTGAGATGACATTACTTCTGGGACCAGCAGGCCTGCTGTCTTGAAGAAGTCATTGCATATTCTGGATTTGTCTGATTGTTTCCTCCCAGTGTCATAGAAGAAGTTCCTCTATCCTCTGTATTGTCAAGAATAACTTAGGCTGTACGGATTTTTGCCTTTCGTGCTGATCTGACAACTTCCCTCCAGCCTAAGGTGCCCCTCTACTGTAACCTGTACCAAGTGCCAAACCAGCAGAGGGATAGCTGGAGCTCCAGGAGCTCAGGAGCAGGCTGAGGGGGGCAGCCCTCAGATGGGCCTGGGAGGAAGGGCGAGGAAGGGGAGGCTGCACACTTGGAGGCTGGACCAAGCGGTGTTGGCCTGTTGGAAATGAGACCTCTCTGGTTCAGAAAAGCCTCTGCCGCCCCCTTGATCCTGGCGGTGGACCGCAGGGCACCCAACAGCATCTCCCTCTCTGCCTCTGTCTTTCTTTCTCTGTGTCGTGGTCTCTGGTCCTTCACATCCTGGAGGCCTGTGTTCTGTGCACTGGAGCAGAGCTAGGCCGCTGGAATGCACTAGGGAAGGGCCTGGCCGGGGAACTGCCTCCCCCGTGTTGTGGCATAAGAGGAAGAGCACTGGGCTGGAGGCAGGACATGGAAAATTTTGTCTCAACTGGGTATATTTATTAGCTGCGTGACAGTTTTCCTCCCAGGGCCTCAGTTTCCCCATTTATAGAATGAGCAAGTGGGGCTACAGCAGAGGCTTTTAAACGTAAAAGAGAAAAAGAAGTAGGTCTGCTCTAGTCGAAGTGCGAATGGAGGGCCCAGGCGTGCCCCCAGCCCTTCGTTCCTGGTTTGCCATCCCTGGGTTGGCCGCCCCCTGGGGCTTGCTCTCGCCAGCTCTGATGGCTGGAGGTTTTTTTTTTTTTTATAGCTCCCATAAGGAACTGGCCTGGGTTTTGTATGGGGTCAATGTCAAGGGCCTGGGGGAGACTCTGGCTGTGTTTTCTCCTAATAAGTTCATCCCTCCCTCTCCTTCCTCTCTGTGGCCCTTGAGGAGAATGAGGGAGGAGAGGGTTTTCTATGACTGTGCTAGCTTTTATTATCAGCAAGAGGGCTCCTTTTGTAATTCGTGCATGAAATTCATGTCTTTTCCTGGGGAGAGGAGAGGGCTGACTGGAGAGGGTGGGGGGTGTATTGGGGGAGCAGGCAGAGGTTTCCTTCCCTGTGGGGTGGGGAGAGGTGTGGAAAGGGGGCACTACCTAGCTCACCTGATCAGGGCTCTCAAACCAGCCGTTTTGGGTTGTGTTAAAAGTGGGAACCTTCCTCTATTAATGTACAATCTCGAACTAACTGCTAATAAAGTGGGGTTCTGTTTGTACACATTGGTCATGTCTGTCTGTCTGACCTTGTAGCGAGGCCTGCCGGGGAGGGTGGAGACGTGGACGTTTGCATGCACAGCCACTCTGGCCGCTCCACAGACAGGTGGGGTGTCCCAGATGACGAGGAACCTCCAGACCTGCTAGATCGCTGAGAAGTGCTGGGGACTGAGCACTGCATGAAGAAGAGGCTCGGAGTGTAGAACCAGTTCTGCCGCATGTGTATCTCGTGCCTGGAGACAAGCCGCTTTTACTTTTTGATGCTGTTTCCCTCATTTTTCAGGGGTATGGAGGTGAATTAGACTCAGTGGCTATTCTTGGAGAATTTGCTTGAAATATCAGATTCCCGGGCCACATTTCAGAGATTCCTCTCTGGAAGATGTGGGGTTGGGTTCAAGCACCTGCATTTTAACAACCTCTCTGGCACACTGAGGCACCCCACTTTGGGAAACCCTGGCTCAGATCAATGGTTCCTACAGGCTCTAATTAATTCAGAGTCTCTCTGTCCAAGGAACAAAAACTTCGGCAAACAAATCAATTTCTAGCCCTCGTAGCCTGATTGAAATTTTCCAAGGAGGGGCCCCGCCAGCTGTTGCAATGCCGATGTCCAGACCTACTCCCTCGGAACCCCCTGCAAAGCTTTACAAAATGCACATCCCCCGGCTCCCCCAAATCCACTCAATCATAGCCTCAGGGAGTAAGACCCAGCCACGTGCATTTTAACACAGTCTCTGATGCACGCAAAGGTCTGGAACACTAAGCCAGGGCCCCTGAGTGTAAGCCAGAGGAAGTCACAGCAACGGGGACCCAGCTGGGAGCACCAAAATGCCAGCCTCCACAGAGACCACTTTGGGGTTTGTCATCTGGGAGGTCAGTTCGAGTCATGTGCCATCACCAGCAAGAACGTGGCCGGAGGCTGCGTGAACGGGAACAGACACAGAAGGTGTGATACAGAAGGGTTTCCTTGCCAGGTAAGGGGTTGGGATACATCAGAAATCTTTGAATTTTAAAACAGCCAAGATTCTTTTTAAAAAGAGAAACTTACTTGGAAGCCAGGTAAAGGCAGTGTGGTGTGGTTGGAGTGGGGGTGAGGATCTGGACTCTCACCAGCCCAACTCTTCCTCCCTGTCCCCCATCATATCTGGAGCCCTAAGATTCCTTGAAACACATTGTGAAAACCCAGCCCGGCTGCTCTCAGAGATCCCAAGAGTCCTGCAATTCAAACAAGTTGAGGGAACAAAGACACATGAGACCCTCCTCATCCCTTAGAGTGAGGGGCCACTCAGGAACCTGGTATCCTAGGGGCAGTCCAGACTCCGGAGCTGGGCATTTTCCTCGGAGAAGCCCTTGGGACATGTACATAGGGCAGTGTGTTTCATCATAGCGAAGCACTGGACACAACCTGGATGCCCAGTCATGGGGCATCAGCTAAATAGCCTCTAGTGTAGCCACATGCTGGAACATGATGATGCAATTGAGAACACTTAGCCCTGTAAGACTGGCCTATACAGTGTGACCACTTGTGGAAAGGGAATGCTCCGTAGTGTGTATTTTTTTCTGGGAATATAGATATAGAGCTTTCACACCACACTGATAACGGGAGCGGGAGGGGACGGGAACGAGGAGTTTTCCAAGGGGATTTTAGCTTTGGCTGAAACATTTAAAAAAAAATTAAGATAATGTATTCATGTATCATTTGTGGGATGAAAAAATCTTAATAAAAACAATATGACTAGAAATGGATGAAGCAGGAAGGAGGGGCCTCCAGGCAGCCGGGCTATCGTTGGAGGACATCATGAAGGCGACGCTGCTGTCCACCCACCCTCAGGAGGCCAGGCCAATGGGGAGAAGTTCTTGCCTTGCTAACGTTACTCGGAGCACTTGTCAGGACCTGAGGATCCTGACTTGCTGTGTGGCTATCGACGAGTCTCAGAGCCCAGCTCTCACACGCTCACAAGTGGTGGACTTAGAGTTAACCTCATCAATATGGTGACAAACTAACATCATGTGAAAAGGACACAGCCTGACGCCTGTGACAGTCCTCACAAAAAGAGGTAATGTGAATCTAGCCAAGAGGAAACAGCAGACACATTCACGTTGAGGTAGATTTTGCAAAATAACTGGCCTGAACTCTCAAAATGTCAAGGTCATGAAAGATAAACAAAGGCTGAAAGACAGTTCAAGATTAAAGGATACTAAAGGGACCTGGCGATAGAATGTCACATGTGACCCTAGACCTAGACCAGGAAACAGTTATAAAGGACACCATAGAGGCAATTGGCAAAATGTGAATGTGGACTGTGTGGGTTGGATAATAGTATCGTATCATTATTAAATTTCCTGATGTCGATTATTGTACTGTTACGTCAGAGTATATCATTGTTCCTAAGAAGTACACGCTGAAATATTTACAGGTAAAAGGGAAGAAATGGAGCTGAATTTTGACTCAAGCTTTCTCTAGTGGGTCAGACTTATCGGGTGCAGTTCAGAATATGTCCACCAGAGGACGGTAGCACCTCAGCCTCTCAAGGCCAAGGTCAGTGTGAACCTCCCCATAAGACTGGGTTGGTGGTTAGTGGTGGTGGTGGAGGGAGGGGGCAGTAATGCTATAAATAAGAATATCAATAAATTAAATAATATGAATAATAAAAAGTGTTTCTTGCTCTGTGTCAGGCAGGCCCTCTGCTAGTCAAGTAATAGCTCTTAATCCTCGTAATGACCCTCTGAGGTAGGCGTTATCATTCTCATGGTGCGTAAAACCTGGATGTCACATGCAGAAGTTTGAAGTTGGACCCTTACCTCACACCATATACAAAAAGTAACTCTAAATGCATCAAAGACCTAAATTTAAGAGCTAAATTATAAAACCATTACGACATAGTTGTACATCTCCATGACCTTGAATTTGGTAATGATTTCTTAAATATGACACTAAAAGCACAGGCAACAATGGAAAAGATAGATAAATTAATCTTTATTAAAATTAAAAAGTTTTGTGCATAAAAGGACACATTCAAGAGAGTGAAAAGACAATCCACGGAATAGTAGAAAACATTTGCAAACTGTATGTCTGATAAAGATTTAATATTCAGATTATATAAAGAACTCCAACAATTCAATTCAAAAGTTGGCAAGGAATTTGAATAGATATTTCTCCAAAGAAGATATGCAAATGGCCAAAATGAAAAGATGCTCAACGTAACTAGTCATCAGAGAAATGCAAATCAAAACTATTTCATACCTATTAGGATGGCCTTAATCTTTTTAAAAGGAAAATTAGTTTTGGTGAAGATGTAGAGAAATTGGAACCCTCATACATTGCAGGTAGGACTGTAAAATGGTGCAGCTGCTTTGGGAAACATTTCTTCAAAAAGTTAAATGTTATTCACAATAGTCAAAGCTGGGAACATTCATCCACCAACAGATGAATAGATAAACAAAACGTGGTAAATACATACAATGGAATGTTTTTAGTCAAAAAAAGGAATGGAATTCTGGTGCATGGTACAGCATGAGTTAACCTTGAAAACATTATATCAAGGTGAAATAAGCCAGATACAAAAAGACAAATAAGATTTCACTTATATGAAATATCTAGAATAGGCAAATTTATAGAGACAGAAAGTAGATTAGAGGTTACCAGGGCTGGAGAGAGGTGATGGGAAGTTACTGCTTAATAGGTCCAGGGTTCCTGCTTGGGGTGGTGGAAAATGTTACAAATAGATAGTAGTCTTGGTTGTACAATAAGGTGAATATAATTAATACCACTAAGTTGTGGTATTAATTAAAAATGGCTAAAATGACAAATTTTATGTTATGTGTATTTGCCACAATGAAAAATACATATACAGCATTAAAGGCAGCTCTGATTTTTAAACATAGATATAATTCACATGCCATAAAATAATGCTTTAAAGTGTACAATTTAGTCCTGTTTGTTTGTCTGTTTAGTGCTGTTTAATATATTCACAAAGTTGTGCAACTATCATTGTTATCTAATTTCAGAACATTTTATCGCCTCAAATACAAAGCTCATGACTGCTAGCAGTCATTCCTCATTCTTACTTTTCGGCCCCTGTCAAACACTAAACTGCTTTCGATGTCTATAGATTGCTGATTCTGGACATGTTGCATAAATGGAATCCTACAATATCTGGCCTTTGTGTCTGGTTTCTTTTACTTATCGTAATGTTTTCGAGGTTCATCCATGTCATAGCATATATCAGTACTTCATATTGTTTTCCACAGTGGCCAAACCATTTTTACACTCCCACGAGCAATGTAAGAAGTTTCCAATTTCTCCATATCCTTGCCAAAAGTTGTCATTTTTCATTTTTTAAAATTATATCTATCCTAATGGGTGTGAAGTGGTATCTCATTGTGGTTTTTAATTTGCATCTCCCTGATAACCAATGATGCTGAGCATCTTTTCATGTTCTTATTGGCCATTTGTATATCTTCTTCGGAGAACTGTCTATTCAGTTTCTTTGCCTATTTTTGAATTGGGTTGGTCTTCCTGTTGCGAGTTGTAGGAGTTCTTTATATATTCTGGATACTAGACACTTATCAGGTAAGTCATTTAGGTCTTTGATCCATTGTGAGTTCGTTTTTTGTTTATCTTGTGAGGTCGGGGTTCAATTTCATTCTTCTGCATGTGGATAGCCAATTGTTCCAACAGCATTTTTTGAGAAGACCATTCTTTCCCCCATTAAAATGTCATGGCACCTTTGTCAAAAGTCAATCGACCATAAATATCTTCAATTCTGTTCTGTTGATCTGCATGTCTATCCTCAAGCCAGTTTCACACAATCTTGATTTCTGTAACTTTGTAGTGATTATTGAAATCAGAAATAATTCCTCTAGCTTTGTTCTTCCTTTTCAAAATTGTTTTTGGCTATTTAGGTTGCTTGCATTTACCTGAATTTAGGATCAGCTTGTCAATTTCTGCTGAAAAGGTAGCTAGGATTTTGATAGGGATTGTGTTGAATCTGTAGATCATTGGGGAGTTGCCCTCTTAACAATATTAAGTTTTCGTTCTTTGCCATGCCAGGTTGTGCGGTTATGTGATGGAAGACAGACACTAATTCCTTCCCTGTTTGACCCCCAAACAGCCCCATAAATCCCCTCTCTCTCAAGTCTTTCCCTTTTCCTCCATCATGACATTTTTGGAGGTTCATTTCCTGTCAAATTCATAGCCCTTAAATCTCTCTTCTTACAGGAAGTCTTCCCGGCTTGTCTCTATAGACTCTCATATCCATATATATCCATACATAGTCTTTAAAAAATATAGATATATGACATTAAAGAGTATGATACAATAATATAGAATATGATACGTGAGTTATAGTACAGATAATTTTATTATAGTATATTTATATTATCACAGGGTACATATTTTTATTATATTATGGATAGGCATATTATAGTCATTTAGTCCCAGTGCATAGGTTTATGAATTAAGCATAATGTGGTAGAGCTGAGAAGGCCCATCTAGTTTCTTAGTTCCTCTTTAACCCATTTTAGAGATGGGTAAATTGAAGCCCAGGGATATAGGTAATGGGGCTCAGGTGACTTTGAAGATCCTTGGCCCGCATATTGCCTGCTCACTTGAATATAAGCACACTTACGATTGAACCACCCAATTCTCTAACTGCCCATGGCAGCTCGTGGTCTAAGGATGGGAGGCAGAGGGAAGCCCTCAGTGGCCAGCCCAGGCCCCATCCAGCCCCTAAGCAGCCCCCAGCATGACCGGGCCGGATGGACCATCTGCACAGCTGGAATTGATTATCCAGCTGTTTATGGGTCTTTGCCTCTGGTGTTTATAGTTCCGCCTTTGGGTCTGCTTTGCGTCCCTACTAATTAGAACAATATTCCGGGAGGCAGCATGGGGTGGGGTGGGGGACCACTAGATGGGGAGTAATGGGCTGCGCCTGCACCTCAGCTCTTGCCTTGCTTCGTTCCAACAAGGATTTCAGGCTTTTTACAAGGACGCAGGAAGGAAAGCAAGATGGTGTCAGTGGAAGAGGGTGAGAAAACAGGCACACAGAAGTGGGGAGAAAGTGGAGGCAAGAAAAAGTCTAAAGATGTAGTCCGCTGTGAGTTAGACACTTAATGTAAGCAAAATGTTAGGCCGAACCCCTCCGTATAAGAAAAAAAAAATTATCACAGAAGTTATAGATGTCCGACGTGAGAACACACAGGCAAATGAGAAGAAAATGAAAATGTCTACGTCCCACCATCTGGAATAACCACGGTTCATATTTTAGGACTTCTTTCTGTCTGATATATGAAGCTGTTCTCGTAGAAACGACATTCTGTTTTGAAAACCACTTTTTAATCGTAATAAATTGTCAATGTTTTTGTGCTATTAAATATTTTTCTACTACATCAAATTGTCATTTTCATTCTTATTGATACAAGATTATTGTGGAAAAATTGCAACCCTCAGTAAAGCGCACAGAATGTAAAGCCCAAGTGTCCCTCTTGCCCTGGCCTCTGGGGGAACACTTTTAACTCTTTGGTGGAACTGCTTTGCACGTTTTATGCACATTGTATAGCTGGGTCATCATTTATTTAAATGATCCCCTTGCATTGGACATTGAGGTTAGGCACACAGCTGAAGCCCACAGACAGCCAGCACGATCAGGGAAACCTCCCGGTACCAAGGGCAGATTGTTTTCTTCCAGAAAAATCTCATGAATGCATCCTAATAAGCTACCTCCTAAACACACTGGCAGAAGTGGGTTCCGTTGGGCTGCTTCCTTGCGAAGTCATGCTTGTTTTTATTTTTTTTTAATTAACACAAGTAATCCACATTCATTGCAGAAATTTTTTAAACTACAAATAAGCAAACCTAAGATAAACATTCCTAACACAGCGATAAACACTGCCCACACTTGGGTGCTTATAATCATAAAAGCTAATGTTTACTCGTTGCTTGGTCCGGGCTAATCACACTGTGCTAAGTGCTTGGTGCACATCGTAAGGGCAGTGTCCTCCCCACTACACAGATGACTCAATGGCGGCTTTAGTCTTGGTGACCTGTCTATTGTCTCCTGGCTATAGGGTGGCAGAGTCTGCCTTTAGACATGGTCCCACTGGCTTACGAGTCTACACTCTTACATGACACCCCTGCTTTTTTCACCTATCTACCTGGAGGGTTCCCTCTTTCAACATAATGTTTCCTGATCTGCTTTTTTTTTTTAAGATAAATTGTGACCATCTCCTGGTGTCATTAAATATTCTTCTTGGGATTCAGTTTTATGAATGTTCCGTACTTCATTTACCTGTTGGACATGTGGGTTACTTTAGATTGTTAGTATCATAAAGCCACGCCGAACATTTTTTCGGCTTAACCTTTGAGCACATCCATAGTTATTTTCACAGGGCTGCTTTCTCTAATGGCCCTTACTGACCTGTTACACCAAAGGGCAAGGGGGCCCAGGTGATAGGGACACCCAGTGAGATGCGCACACCCAGTTCTTGACTGAGCCGTCCCAACTTGAGGGAGACGCCCTAGTCCGTGCAGAAGACAGCGAGTCCTTTACACTGTCCTCCGGAAATTGTCTCTCAGCGGAGCGAGAGACTGAAAGGCTAAGAGCTAGAAGTGACCCGCTCAGCAAATGACTTCCATGTAGCCATGTGGGTGCAGCCCCCGCCTCTACTCCACAGATGACTGAGTTAGAAAAAAACCAGCCTGAAAAGGTGGCATCTGGTCTCCAACAGAGAGGAGAGGAAACTTCTCCTTCCTCTACAGAGATAGATTCTGAATTTGGGGCAGGCCCAGTGGAAGGCCCATGAGGCTGCAGGACTCTGCTCCCAGGAGCATGGGGTGAGGAGCGGTTGCTCTGGAACCCAGAGGGCCAGACTGGGTGTCCTGGTGCATCGGGTGCTTGGCTGAGTCTTGGAGGACTGGTTAGCCAGGGTGAAGGAGAGGGTTCCAGGCAGGTGAAAGCATGAGCAAAGCCTGCAGGTGAGAGAGAGAGGGCCAAGGGCTGCTGGGAACCTGGAGGTCTTAGCCTGGAGAGTGGAGGTTGGGGTGGGAGTGAGGAGAGGTGGTAGAGCTGGAGGCTTTTGCTGGGTCTTTGGGGCCTCATGCAAGGGGTAAGGATTCTGCACTTGGTAACAAGACTGCCATACTGGAGATGCAACACCTTCTCTCTCCCTCCCCTCTGTTCTCAAATGCCTAGGAGCCTCTTTTCTGTGCCAGGCTGTGCAGGGTGCAGGGAGGGAGGCAAGGTGGAGACCACGGGTCCTTGCCCCCTCCAGACCAGGCCTGAGGAAGCACCGGGGTGGGAAAGTTGACCGAGCAAGGGCGACGGCCCCCAACAGCCCCATGCACTGGAGGCCCTCAGAGAAGGAACTGCCACTCGCGCAGCAGGTGGGGAAGAGGCAAGAGCCCGGGCTGCTCGTGTCCTGCCGCCTCTGGAGTCATTTGCTGAGCGGGTCACCCCAGCTCTGCCTCCCCTCAGCCGTGCAGCTTGTGGCTTGGTTGCTTACCCTTTCTGAGTTACAGTTTTGCAATATTTAAGATGGAAACATTAATAGAAGGAGGAGGAAGATTAAATGAGATGGTGCATGTAAGGCAGAGTGCAGCACCCAGTAAGTGCTCAATGAACATTGGTTATTTCTTTCCTGTCTCACCTGACACCCTCCTGCTGCAATAGAGGTGGGTGGCAAGCCAGGCCCTGTTGGGCTTCTCCCGTCATGATGCTGAGGTCTGCTTCTAAAGCTCCCTTTGTGAGGCGCCTTTGAAGTGTGAACCGCAGAGTTGATTACAACCTTCTCCCCTTTCACGAATGAACTCACAATGCTCCAAGCTGGGGTCCTCTCCCTTCCCCCATTAAATCGAGTTTGTAAGCCCCCTGGCCCCAGGCCCCTGACAGGTTGGGTTAGACTCTAGGTACGAAGTGCATACTGTGTGCCAGGCCCCCACTACGTGCTGAGCATGACGCCGCTGAATCCTCAGAGCTCTCCGAAGGGCTCTGTTACCTGCCCCCTCCGCACACAGAGGGTGGAGCCAAGGCCCAGAGAGGTTCTGTGAGTTGCCCAGACTGAGACCATGTGTGGCAGTGTTGGGATCCCACTCTTTTCTGTCCACAGGCCTGGTTGCGATGTCTTGTTTCTCCCCGCCCATCCCCCACCGGAGGTCCCCTCACACTTCTGCCTCCTGGAGGCTGCCCACCTGGCCCGTCCTGTGTGGAGGTGAGCCCCGCAGCGCTCTCACAAGGCACCATTCATCCAGGCAGGCTGCTGATTGAAACCATGTGTGTGGTGCGGCTGGCCAAGGTGGCGGCAGCTCCGGAAGCCAAGCCTGGCCCGGGGCCTGTGGGTGCTGGGAGGATTGGGGGAGGAGGTCCGGCTGACCTACAGGCTTGCCGGGCCCAGGGCAGGGGCGGCGGGCGGGGGGCGCACCTTCAGGGCTGGACTGACTTCCCCCCACCACACACACACACACACACCAAGGAGACCCTGAGCTGGGACCCTGAGGCTTTGCCCCAGCTTGGGGATGCAGGAGACAGAGGCCCTCTCTAGGTGAGGATGGGGAACTGGGCCTGGAACACCTCAGGCCCTTTCCCAGGTTGTTTGGCTGCTGAGGAGGGTGTGCATGTGTGTGTCTGTAGTGTGTGTGTGTGCGCGCGTGCGTGTGTGTGTGCGCACGCTGAACTCCATGCAGGGTGCCCCGAGCCCTCGGACTCATGAGCACTGCAGGCTTTCCAAAGGGCAGTTTGGTTCAGAGGTTAAGACTATGAACTCTGGAGGCTCGTTGTCCTGGACTGCAGTTCCGCCCCTACTGCTTTCAGACTATGTGACCGGGCAAGCTGCCCAGCCTCCTGTCCTCCTTCACCAAACGCGGACCGAGGCCGGGTCAAAGGGCCAGAGCAAAGGTGGAGCCACATTGGCTGAGGCGGGGTTTGGGTGCTCATGGCTAGCCCTGTTGGAGAGCCATCCCCAGCCTCAGGCCCCTGAATCTTGACTTCTGAGGTGTGGCCTGTCTGGGAGTTTGGAGGGCGCTAAGCGTGGGGTGGGTTTCCTCTGATGCCTAAAGGAGCCAGTTAGTTGGGGACAGCAGGGGAGCCTTGGATCCCGGTGAGTGTGAGGTGCGGCTGAATGAACCACCCTTTCCCCAGCCGAGTACAGAGCAGGGCTTTGTTCACAGGGCCACCTCCCTGGCACTGAGGCCCCCACAGGAAGGGGTGGGCGGGCCAGGCCATGGCCAGCATTGGCCGCAGACTTGGCTCAGCCGAGACCCTTCAGGGGTCTAGTGTCTCAGAAGGCGCCCTGGTTTCCCAAGGAATGCATGTTGTTCTACTGGGCCACTCAGGCCTTGTCCAGCCTGTGCCTGGGGAGAGTCATGTTTTGAGGGCATTTAATCCTAGTTGGGCATCTCCCACAGGATGCCCTTGGGACATCCCCCAGGGTGGGACTGGCCTCAGAATAGGACTCCCTAGAGGCAGGAGTCCCCAGATGCCACCCTGAGCTCCTAAGGCCAGGCCCTCCAACATCAAACTCATGGCACAGGACAATGCTGAGGCCAGGAAGAAGGGGTTGCCTGTGCCACACGGAGTGTTCAGGTATAAAAGCTTAGCGTTTTCCTTTGGTGGGGGTGGGTAGCCGAGGTCACCAAGAGCAAGCAGATGGCTGTTAGGAGGAGGGGAGCCTGAGCTGATATGGAACAGCCCTCCACTTCCCGGCCGAGCGACTAGGGCAGCCACTTACCCTCTCCAAGCCTCCCCCTGCTTCTAAAGCAGAGAAGAGAATCTACCACAGAGGGATGTACAGGGCTGAGAAGGATCAGGTCATGAAGCAGAAACTGAAAGTGGGGAGGAGTATGCACTGCAGGCAACCTGGATTCAAACCCCAGCTCTTCCCCTCTCAGCCGTGTGACCTTGAGCAAGTTGCTTTCTTCTAGAAAAAAAAAAAAAAAAAGAGTAAAAACATCTTCCTCATGGAATTGTTGGAGAAGCAAATTCACCGATATGTAGTCAGGGGCTTGGCATCAGGCCATGCTCTGATGGTCTGTTTCATATGCTAGCTTGATTAGGCTGCAGGGCCCACTTATTCAAACTCTGACCTAGGTGTTGCGGGGAAGCTATCTTGTAGATGCGATTAAAGTCCATAATCAGTTGACTTTGAGTAAGGGAGATTATCCTCCATAATTGGGGAGGCCCTGACTGAGCCAGCTGGAAAGCACAGCTGAGGTTTTCCTGAAGAAGATATTCCACCTGTGCCTGAGAGTTCTAGTCTGCCCTTCCTGGCAGCCTGCCCTATATTAGGCAGAGTTCTTCAGGGAAATGGAGAAACAGAACCAATGGAGTGTGTGTGTGTGTGTGTGTGTGTGTGTACCTTACCTAATACACACACACACACACATACGCACACATACA